AATAGATCATCGATTCTGGGCAAAGCATATTTGTTTTTAACCGTGAGCTTGTTCAGTTTCCTATAATCGATACAAAGTCTCAATGTCCCATCTTTCTTCTTAACAAAGAGAACTGGGGCTCCCCACGGTGATACACTGGGTCGGATAAATCCCCTGTCCAACAACTCCTGGAGTTGGATTTTCAGTTCTTTAAGCTCCTTTGGGGCCATACGATAAGGAGCCATTGAGACTGGAGTGGAACCAGAATAGACTTCAATTTCAAACTCAACCTCTCTATCCGGAGGTAATCTAGGTAACTCCTCTGGAAAAACATCGGGAAATTTCTTGACAATACGGATGCCTTCAATATCAGATTGAGAACTCCTAGTATCCAATATATAAGCAAGAAACGCCTCGGAACATTTCCTGATCATCTTCTCAGCTACCAAGACAGTTACAACATTCGTCAGAAATCCACGGCGTTCCTCGATCATTACAATCTTTCGATTATCTGGGGTCTTAAGAACAACTCTCTTGGTCTCAAAATCAATATTTACTCGATGTTTGTCCAACCAATCTACGCCGAAAATCAAATCAAATTCTTCTAAAGGTAACTCCATCAAGTCGGCCAGAAAAATCTCTCCATTGATCTCTATAGGACATTCTCTAAAAATACGATTCAACATTATAGACTTGCCTAAGGGACTTTGAACTATCACCGAATGCTCAGTATTCTCCACAGAAATATTTAGACCCTCAGAAATGGAATGTGATACATAGGAATTGGTAGAACCACTATCAAACAATGCAAAGTAGAGAACTGAATGAATAGTAACAGTACCTGCAGTCACATTAGGCCCATCGCGATCCTGTCGAAGTCTGGCAGTGTAAACCAATGCAGGCTGTCCGGCCTCAGATCTGACTGGACCCCTACTCTGAGATGCTCGGCCTCTACTAGCAGATCCTGGTACTCTGCTCTGATTACGACTTACTACTAGAGTCTGAACAGTACTTTGAGTACGTGCGGGAGTACGAGCTGGAGTCTGAACTGTAGTAACTGGCCCTGGACAATCCTTCATGAATTGGTCATGAGAACCACATCTAAAACAGGTACCCAATTTCTTCCAGCATTCTCCAGGATGACGTCTCCCACAATAATCACATAGCTGCAAAGGTTGCCACCCAGAAGAATCATCATGTCTAGAAGAATGTACAACTGAAGAACCAGATGTCACAGGCCTGACACTCGCCCCGCTTCTTTGTAAAGACGTACCTTTGCCTCTCTTGTTGGGGCGTGCTGAAGAATCAACAGAACCGGAAGGCCTTCTGAATCGGGTTTGAGCTTGATCACTATCCTTCTTGTGCTCCATACCTGATCGTTCTATTTCTTCAGCAGTCTTGGCTATCTCAACCAATGCATCAAAATTCCTCTCTCGGTGGGTAGCGACTCGACTCCTGATCTCCTACCTGAGTCCATTCTCGAACCTCAAGCATCGATCTGTCTTAGTGTCAACAAGTCCAAGAGCATAGCGGCTCAAACGGATGAACTCAACCTCATAATCCATAACAGACATGTTACCCTGCTCTAAATTCTGAAACTCCTAACATCGCTCCTGCAGGTATCTCTCTCCGATGTAGCGACTCCGGAAGCGTCTTGAAAAGATCCCATGTTAACTGGTTTCTCGGAATACTACCAGAAATTGATTGTCACCATATGAAGCTCTCTTTCTTCAACATAGTTAGGGCCCCCTTCAACTTCTGTTCAGATCTGAGGTCCATCTCATCCATAATCCTCTCTGTATCCTTTAGCCAATACTCAGCGTATGTCGGGGGTCCACCAGTAATACCCTCGAATGGGATTACACCAGCAGCAACCAAAGAGTTTGAAATCTCAACTGCAGTCATATTATTAGGGCCTCTTGCAGCTCTCTGAAACACGCGGAATATAGCTCTATTAAGGGCATATTTATTTATGTCAGTATCATCATCTCCAGTGATGGGAGGATCTCTCATAGGAGTAAATTGATCAGCATGAGAAAGGGTAAGATCTACTTGCGGAACAGGAGGATCACGTGAAGACATCAGATCATCTATCGTAACAGAAGGTCGAGTGACTCGTCCTCGACCACGGCTATGTCATGTTCTACGACTTCTAGCAGCACTCATTGTTGGATCTATAAGGCTCTACAGAAATAATTCAAAACATATGTCAGATAGCATCAGAGATCTCGGAAAATCTTTAAATCATAAAATAAGGTGACATTTTTTTTCTTCAAAATTTCTTAAAAATCCAAAGCTTAGGACCCATATACAGTCCGAGTGTTTAAAACCGAAAGCTCTGATACCACCAAATGTAACCCTCCAGACCCAGTCTATAAGTTAGATCCAAATTCAAGTGGTCACATATCCCATTCAGAGTTTTTTTTATTTATTTTAAAACAACTTTTAATACATTAGATATAATACAGAACAAAATATAAATAATACAAATATATTCAAAACGATAGCAAATATATGTCACCAAACACAAACTGAGAAACATATAGAGATATACGTTCGTACAAAATAAGTAGTTGATCTTCCTGATGCCAAACCTGTTAGCTTACGGTCTGCTGTTATCTGAAAAAGTTAAAAACTATAGAATGAGCTAAAAAGTCCAGTGTGCTCCAAACAGTGCATAAAAACATACGAATAAAATATTCCAATAAAATCAGTTATCAAACATATTTTAAAATATGAACATTATTTCCATTGAATCATTTCGGTTTATATTTTTTATATATTTCCCCGAAACATACACCCACCTGCACACCAGTAAGGACTTATCCTAAGCACGAAGCTGAGGAGCCTGCAGTAATAACGTCTCCATCCAGTCGCTTCCATAACTACAATGTGTATGTTCCCCAGTACCATACACCCACCTGCACACCAGTAAGGACTTACCCTAAGGACACAACAAAGGAGCCTGCAGTAATAACATCCCCATCCAGTCACTCCAATCACTACAATGTGTAGGTTCCCCAGAACCATACACCCATCTGCACACCAGTAAGGACTTACCCTGAGCACACAACAAAGGAGCCTGAAATACTTCCCTCAATATTATTCCAGTGACAAAAATAAACATGTATGTATTTAGGTGAAATAAATATTAATCTATTAAAACATGAAAATGGTTCATGCTTAGAAATCATATGCAGAAATTACATAAACCATACGTCAGGTCAGTAATATCTGGTAAATCAGGTGTCGGTAACCAGTATTCATAAAACAGGTATCATGTTGTAATAATATTCAACATCATCATAAATTTGAAACCATTTATATGATAGTTTAAAACAGTAAGATAACACCGCAGTAAACACACCTATAGCAGTCTGAGAAATCAGATAGGGAAGCCTATTACTGGGTTTGTCGATCATGCTCTGCTGTAGCACTAGATCCTACAAATCAGAAAAATTCATATTGGAATCCTAATATAAATAATATAAATATTATTTAAATAATATACGGAAACCTACGGGTAACTCTCGTAGTATGCAGTTCAGGCTGATCTAATGAACGTACAACACCGGACCTAACTGATCCTTGCTCAAGTGAAACACGAGTACCTTCATAAAATATTTTTATTGAATCAATTCCTTAACCAAATCACAAATAAATAATCAAAATATTAAAATATTAAAATATTAAGCCTTTTGGGTTTACAAGCTCGATTCGGGAATTTCGGGTCAGAATTTGGCAAAACGGACTTCGGAATCAGATTCAGAACGTCAAAAAACATAAAGTATGACCTTTCGGATATTTAAATTCTTGGTCAAAATCAAAGTCAAAGGGTTTGACTTACAATTTGGAGATTTTCGGGTTCGAATTTGGTGAAACAAACTTAGGATTCGGATTTGGAACGTCGAAAAATGTCAGGATAGGTATACTCGATCAAAATCAAAGGTCGTTTAATGCCCGGTCAAAGTTCTGGTTAAAGGAGGTCAACAAACTGTCAACCATTTTACAGAAGTAATAATTACCAAAATAGCACCTTTTCGAATTAAATTCCCAGAATAGCACCCATTTCGAATTAATTCCCAAAATGTCACCGGTCAACGGTCAACGGTTGGGTCAACGGGTCGGGTCAAAACCGGTCAACCCTTTGAAAAACCGGTTAAACCGGTTATTTTAGCCTTCCCCACGCGCAGTGGCGGCGCGTGAGGGCTGTTCTGGCTGCGTAAAATTCACGGAAAAATTTCTAAAAATTATTTTTAGCGATTTCGAGATACTTACAAAGATCGGTTCAAATTTTTGAACGGCGGAGAGCTCGATTTCATCAAATCGAAAACTTTGACTGCTTCACCTCCCCACGCGCCGCCGTCGACTGAGACCGAGGATGATACCGGCAGACTCGGAACGACACAAGGAACACTATGGTGCGGGAGGTGTCGTAAACGGAGCGACGATCGGCGATGAGTTTAGGATTTTCTATGTGGCTGTGCTAAAAAAAAGTCGAGGCTTTGACTTGAAATTCACGGCGCTTGACAGCGTTTCACCTCAATTAATTTAAGGGAATTGTTCCTCACTCGATAACGAACACGATGGTGGTTTCAAAACGACGATCGGAATTCGGATGGAGGTCGGGATCGTTGTCGGAAGTTGAGGTTGGGAGAGAGGATTTTGGGAAGTGGTTTTCTGTTTTCAAAATAGAAAACCACGTATATATAAACCAATATGACCAACTTTTTTTGAGTAAATTCAGGGCTTTGTCTCTGAATTTTCTTTAACTCTAAAATAAGCTACAAGTTTTAAAAACTTATAATTTAGTTCCCAAAATTTACCTATTTTCACAATTTAAAACCTCAAATTTCAATTAAACATTATTTTGAAATTTTCGGGTTGTTACAAGTATACCTACTGATTACATTCTCATTTAATTTTTATGTGACATCTTTGCCTTGGTTCAGATTTTAAAGTGGCTTGTTATGCCTGTTCATCTTTCTGGCCTGAGTTTGTTTTGCATGTTTAAGTCATGAATGTTCTCACATTTAACCAAACTTGACTGTTGCTCTGGCTTGCGGACTTATCAGGGCATTGGACAAGCTAGGATTTATTCCTCTCTGGAGTCGGAGCAACTTTCTGTTCATTCGTCCAGAGTTTCAAAACTACACATCAGGTCTCTCTCTTACATGCACAAACACAGTAGATAAAAATGATAATTGTCAATACTGCATATATCTGAATCTCATTTCAATTCCCTGTTATGCAGTGATATAAATATTCTTAGGAATGTATCTTGCCCTGTTTCACCCATAGGAAGCCCTCTTCCACATTCAAGGTCACCACAATATCTAAATGGAAGAACGTCTCCTCCCATATCTACCCCCCGGACCACTTCAGGTTCATCTACACCCTTGACAGGTGGCAGTGGTGCTATACCTTTTGGTTATCTGAAACAATCAGCTTACTTTCAAGAGGGTTTTGGAAGCATGCCAAAGCCCTCAAATGGTCTTTATGTTGGTGGCTCCTCCCACTACAATAACAATCCCGACATTTTGAGGACTGCAAGCAGGTTCACACATCTTTTCTGAACTGGTGCCATCAGAAAATGATGTTTTAGGACTTGGAATATCATTTCACGGGGAATCTTATGATGGACAGTCTGTATTAGCTGGTCGTGTTTCTCGACAGCTTCTGAAGGACCATGCAGCGATGAGTCCATCCCTGGATCTAAGTCCTAGCTCTCCATTACCTAACCGGAGTGTTATTATCTAATGCAACTATGAAGAATCAGATCAGAATTTCTCTTGGGTCTTACGGGATCACATTGTATTCATCACTTCAACTTCTAGGGCAGCAAATCTTTCAATATGAAACCAGAACAGAAATTTGAGGAATAAGGTTGAAGTGCAAGTGAGGTGGCTGGTGACTTGTAGGTCATTTTCCAAGGATCAAGGTTTAGTCTCTATGCTTTGTGATTGATAAAGCTATGGAGAGAAATCGGTTCGAGCTAGATGTTCAATAGACCATTTTTTTCAGGTGAAACTATTCCTGGAAACAAAGAATACTGCTGCCATATAAGCGGTTATATAACACGAGGGATGTGGCATGAACTGTACAGAGTTAAGTGTGTAAATCAACTAATGCTTCACTGAACTGCGTTGGTGAAAAGTTCGCAGGCAGGCTTCTGATCATAATTCAGGTGGAAGAACTAAGTTATCCAATCATTTGCTTTCGGGACAATTATCTTTGGTCAAGCATGTCACATGTACAGATATCAAAGGAATCGAACAAGAATTCCGAGTTTTGCCATGAAGAAATAACTGGACTGCTGAGAAGTAGGTCATGCTGTCAAGCTCCCTTCTGGGCAAATCTCTATCCAGCCAGCCGACCTGAGGAAACTTTTGCATGCCTCCCTCGCCCCTGTGGTTGACTTCAATTGCAATTCTTCCTTACTGCTCTAGTGCTCAACATGATTCATTGTACGTGCATTACAACTAAAGTAAAATGAAGAAATCTAATTCTATGGTCCAGCATATCTTACCATCCTTTGAAGTTACTAAAAGTATCCATATCAAGGACAGGAATTCTGCATGACTTTCTCCAAATTTGAGCCAGTTTTGTACAGTCACTTGAATGCCTCTAGTGAATTGTGGAGATAGATTGGATCCTAAACAGGCCTGGCAGACGAAATTGTAGAAAAAAATTGAAATAGAGAAAATATCACTCAAACACACACATATATATATTGAATAGTATAGGGTGAGTATAAGATAGTATTTGTTCAGAATTTTCTTAACTTACTGACATGCGCACGTGAGATCTTTAGGGTGAAGAACAGTCCATTTTACCACTAAATTCACTTGATGGGTTAGAATACCACTCATATTTAAGAAAAGGTTTAAGAGTTCAAAAGCCAACCGATCAAAATTCTCATCAGATAGACCTTTTGAATATTGATGATATCAATTGGGTCTTCTATCTTAAAATTCTCATCAAGTAGACCTTTTGAATAACGACTAACATTTAATAATCTAGTTTATGTATAAGTTAGGTAGGATTTTTGTTGAACATCTTTAGGGATTTGACAAAATTAGTGAAATAATGCACTTGAATTCTTTTTGAAATGGGGTTGCCTTCAATTTATTTAGGGATTTGTTATATATTGTACAATTACCACTGAAGTTGTTGTATAGGTCAGACAATAGTAAAGTTGTCTTTTTCGAATGACTTTACCTAATTTATTTTATTTGAAGGCAAATCATTGCCCTTTTTAGATGACTCCTAAAAAACGTAAAACCTAAATTTTTTTATTAACAGGTATAAATGAATTGTAACTATACACATAATTATTGATATTTAACTCATTGATTAATCAATTCTAGTCGGTTACTATAAAAACTTACAATAACGATAGCTCTTTCAACTCGGTGATAATTTTTTTTTAAAAAAAAGGTAATATTGAACCCTAAAAGGTTTCAAATCACATTAAATTTATCTTGACAAAACATAAATCAAACTTTGATTTTTGTATGCTGACTCAACAATATGCATCTAAAAGTTAATGATAGAAAAGGAAAACATTACTATATGACAACGCATTTATGTAACATGAAATATAGATAAAAAAAAACACTAATATATACATAATATCAGTCTTGACATGTAAACAAAAGATTACAAAATTTACTAAAATCCAGTTGATCTAATGAGATGATACACTAGATTTTTTAAGCAAGGTTAAATGTTCGAATCTTGACATTTGCGAATAAAATAAATTGGGTTAAGTCGCCCTTACCTCTGCAGTATCGATCTGAATTAGTCGATCAATAAATCTAAAATTGGTGGTTATTTAAAAAAATTAAAATTTTGGAACATACAATCCTAAAATTTAATCTATATAGTAATCAAAACTTAAAATTTTAACTTCAATTTTTAATTCAAATACTCAACTTGTTCATGTGGGATTTGATTCAAACCTTTCGACGGGAAATGCACTGATTACAATGTATGCAAGGTGTGATTTTGTGGAAGCTGCCAATGCATTGTTCCTTATGATCCCTTGTATCGGTTCAGTCTCTTAGAATGCCATGATTGCAGCTCTAGGCCATCCTAAGCATGGTATACAAGCGTTGTTAGGGATGACAATGAGTAAGTGAATTTTTAATACATTTGAATCCACTCAAAAATTACACTCTTTCATTTGTACCTGATTTTGTCAGGGTTTAAAAAAATTCTACTGGATCCAAAATTTAACTTAATTTTTAAGGTCAAGATTCGAACATATATTTGTAGAGGTCAAATAATTAAAAATCTTACCAAAACATAGAAAAATTCATCCCAACCTAATAAAATGTGTGATGATGAAAGGTCCAAACTTTTATTTTTTGTAAATTGTAACTAAACTTGAATTTGTTGAAAAACACAACCAGCAAATCTCTCAACAATTCCAGAGTCAAGACTCATTGATTTTGGTTGGTTTTTTTCCCTTAAAACTTAAAAGCTTATTTCTATATAACACAGACATGAAGAGAATTCCAGTAATTTGATACTAATACTATTATTGTTTGTCTTCCTTGGCTTCTTCTTTCTTCTCCTCTTTTTTCTCTTCCACCGCAGGTCCAACTGATACAATGTCCACTTTCCCTACCTTCTTCAACCTCTTCACCACCGCCACTGCATCCATCTGCCCTACCACCGTCAGCTTCTGTTCCTCTAGATCCGCCGCTATTGAATCAACACCTGCCACCACCACCACCACCCATCATTATTTTTACATAAAAAGTAGAAAATTGATAAAGCATTTCTAATTGTTCTGGTTATTCTGCATGCAAATTTGTATGATCAAATACCATACCGTAGATATCTGCAGCCGCTTCTATGGCTTTCTTCTTGGTCTTCTCATCTGTCATGGTTAGAACTTTGAGGACACCTTCTGCAACAACAGTAAACATGAAACGGAGAAGAAGGAGCATCAACATGAAAGTAAAGAAAGAGAAATTTACCTGAGCCATTGTGAAAAGAATGAAATGAATTATTGAAAGGGGTGAAGAGTTTATAAATGGTGAAATTTGAGGTCACTGATTATGGCAGCCTTTTCGATGTATGATTACTCAGCCTTCTTAGGCTTCAGCTTCAGGTTTCAAATGGATGGCTATTACGTACCGTTTCTGTCTAGCCACATGGGCTATTTCATTTCCTATCTACTACGAAAATTCTAGGTTAGTTTTGTTAGGGTAAAATACACCGATGATCTTCTTACTATAGAATATTATTTTGTTAAGTCCTCTAATTATTAAAATAATCTTTTAACTATAGATAGTTGTTTTATTGTGTCCCTCAACTATTAAAAGTTACACAATGATCACTCGATTATTCATTATGTTTCAAACTCGTCATTTTCCATTAAAATTAACGTCTGAGTTTGACGTTAACACACTGACTGATATGTGATAGTAGTTTGAGATTATGAGATTAGATTTTATCATACCCCAGTCAACAAGTTAACGTTCAACTCCGATTATTGTTGATCTTTTTAATGGACGAGGATGAGTATGGAATATAATGAATAGTCGGGTGGTCATTTTATAATTTTTAATAGTCGAGAGACTCAATAAAGCAACCCTTTATAGCTAGGGGATTTTATTATAAATTTTAATAGTCGGAGACACAATAAAATAGTATCTTATAATCGGTGGATCATTTGTGTACTTTATCCTTTTTTTCAAAAAACAAAAAATAGTGTTTTGATAATATAATATTTTTATATTTAATTCATTCAATTATATAAAATTATAAATTAGTTACTCAAGTTATTCAAATTTACAAAATAATTATTAATTGATAATTCTTATATATAAAGCTAAAAAGGATAATTAATAAAATTAATATAATAATATATTTAACTTTCAATATTTACCCTTTGTTTTAACTTAATCCTAATTTTAAAAATTAACCTTCCACGCTTAAATATTGTACCAATCTAATCCTCAACCATTTTTTTAAATTATTGTCCCTCCCACCACTCAACTTTCAAACCAATTTTTTTTATTAATTCATTTTCCATCTTCTAAAAAGTATTCTTCTAAATCATTTTACAGTCTTTTTATGGAGAAGTCTAAGGAGTGGAAGCCTAATTTAAGATTGAAAAATGACGATTTTAAGCGTAATCGAAAATGTAATAAAAATGACAACATCTTAGTTTAGGCGCAACTTAAAATATTATTTTTTTCCTAACATTTTCGGTTGAACTGAAAATGTTACATTCTTAGTAATATTTTTCGATTGAACTGAAAATATTACATTATTCGTAAAATTTCCGGTTGACAACCGAAAATGATACCTTCTTCATAATATTTCAGCTTCAACTGAAAAATGTTAGTAAAAATGTAATATTTTATGTTACGCTCAACTTAAAATGTTATGATATTTATTACATGTTTCATTGCATCCCAAAGTGACCCTTTTTAAACCTTACATTAGGCTGGTAATATTTTAAGTTATATTCAACTTAAAATGTTATGACTTTTAGCACATGTTCGATTGCATCTTAAAATCATTAGTTTTTTAATTTTAAATTAAAATGCCGCACGACAGAACTATCTTTTTCCCGGGTAAAAGAAAATCAATCTATTTGAACTGTTACCATCCACGAAAAATGTGGACATTTTCCTTATTAGAGTATTATTTGCCTTCGAAACATTGAAGAAATAAACAAAGATTACTACGGAAAGCTAAATCCTGAAATTGGGTAATAGGTTCCGCAATTAGGAAAAATGTTGACATGATCGAGAGGAGAACTTGGTTCGTAATGCCTTAAAATTCGGGTTAGTAGAATCGAGTAAAAAATTAAATAATTAATTTACTTTTTTAATTTTTAAAACATCAATTTAAAAATTTTAGATAGATTATGAGGTTTTTAACGAGGCCTATATTTTTATAAAAAAATTAGATCAATCTGATTTAAATAAAATTAAATTTGAAAATGATTAAAAATGACAAATTTTAGAAATTAGAATATTAGTAAGTATATAAATTAAAGGAGTTTTTTTTTAAATGGAAAATTCTAGAATATAACTTAGAATCAATTTTAATTAAAGATACATGTATTATTTTGTTAGGTAAACTACACAAATGGTCACAGCCTATAGGATATTATTTTGTTAAGTCTCTTGACTATTAAAAGTGACAAAATGGTCCCCCGGCTATTAAGCTGAGATATGATAGTCGTTTGAGATTATGATATCTTATTTTATCATATCTCAGTCAGCAGGTTAATGTCCAGATCGGACTACCGTCAAATTTTTACGAAAAATGATGAGTTTGGAATATAATAAATAGTTGGGTGACCATTTTGTAACTTTTAATAGTCTGAGGGACTCAACGAAGTAACACCCTACAATTGAAGGATCATTTTGTAACTTTTTATATTCGGAGGACTTAATAAAATTGTATCTTAGGGGATCATTTGTATACTTTATTCTATTTTGTTTAACATGTTAAATCGGATAATTTGAAGAAATAAATAAATAAGAATCAACCACTCAAAACGGTAATGATTGAAAAGAGGTATAGCATGAAGGAATGGATAATATCACTACATAGTCAAGTGTGACAAGAAAAACACACAAACAAAGTAAAAGGAAAGACAAATACAAATAAGGAAAGGTTGATAAGGTGAGATTAAATGCAGCAAGAAGAGCTTTTAAATAGCTCGAGATTTAATAATGTCGAAGCTCATTTCACTAGGATCCGTAGCCTGCAACTCAACTTGAATCCCATCCAACTCCCTCTTGAATCTGTCTTTTGAGCTCGCATACACCATCTTACTCCTCACCCTTGATGCATCAGGTGCCCTGCATTTTACTACCTTGAATGAATCATGTTTCATAATGTAACGAAAGCTGTGCAAGTGTTGAATGGAAAAAAAAGGGTTGGCACCAGGCAATGAAGAAGATTTTGCTCTTCTGGCAGTTCTCAGAAGTAGTGAAATCGAAATCGAAGACGGCGTAGCGGCACTCGTCCACCGGTAGAGCGGCGGTGAAATCTTCATAGGTTTCATCAGGGCCGCCAAGTTTGTCCACCACCACCTGCTGGTTGTTGATCTTGAAGACGATGAACCTGTAGTTCCTCTTCGCCTTTAACTCCAAGAACTTCAGCTTACATTCATCATCCACCGCCATTCCAGATGCCGCGTTCGCCTGTTTTCAAATTTTTTATTCCTCCACTCCACATTTATATATCAAACTCAAAAAACCACAATATTTGTTTACATCTCAATATCAATTCTACTCATGTCATTTAGGAGGAACATGTGTACATCTTAGAATATGTTTTTCTTTATATTAATTGTTAGCTTTATTTACGGTGTTCATTTTGAAATTTTATTTATATCCATCTATACGAAATTTATTATTATTATTATTATATATGTGCTTATCTTAGAAAATATTTCTAGATTCGTCACTGATTCTAGCCAAGGACGAAGTCAGAATTGAGCCACAATGAGAAAAATCGCTTAATTTTAAAATAAATAAGGTCCTAAAAAATATGTAAACCATAAAAATTAAGAGATGGAGGTTTAATTTAACTAAATTTAAAATTCAAAGGTCTTAGAAACTAATTAAACCAGATAAATTTTGGGTCAATGTTTAATTTCATTGATTTCAAAACTGGTAATGTCGTAAAAAACAATTATTCCAAAAAATTTTGGGAGGGGCAAGGGCTTCATTATAATGGTTTCAAAATTATCAGTGATCTAAAATGTATTTAAACCATAAGAGTTGGGGTGCAATTACCCCTCCCACCGATAGCGTGCATTCGTCCTTGATTCTAGCACAATCGATGTAGAGATTATTGGCTTCTCATTCACCATGAAACAATACATTAGTGAGATGATGGATCGAGGGGTAATGATGGGTACGGCTGAAAATTTCAGATTTTTATATTGTAAGAGATTTTTTTTTTTTACTTTTTTATCACTGATTTAATTTCGTATCTTCTGAAATTTTATAATTTCGCACTCCTTAAATTTCTGATAGAACTTTCTAAGTTTACAGCCATGATATAAAATCCATCTTTTGTCCCTGATGGTCATAAGCTCAAAGAGAAACAAAGATACGTTAATTATCCTAATTGGATTTAACCATCCCAATGAACGGAAATCAAAAGATAAGATATATTTAAGATATTGGAGGAAGAGGGAACTCACCATTTTGTCGACCAAAGGGGAAACAAAAGCCCTGTGGGGGAATGAAGATGAAGAAGAAAGAAAATGTAGAATGGGGTAAGATGGGAAGGGGTACCCTTAATTGAGGGGAGAAACGAGACAAATACGGTGGGTGAAGAGAAATTTAAGGGCACACAACTTTTCAAACCTTTATAAATCCTTTAATAATCTCCACAATAACAGTTCTTGTACATTATTAATAAACCACGTTGTTGGTTTGCATGCCCAAGTTTTTTGGTGGTCTATTTTTATCTCTTTTTTAATTTTAGTTTTGGTCAATACTTGTATTTGATCATGAATGTTCAAATGTCCCTATAGACGTTGCGCTCACCTCGAACCTAAAATCTCTAGGGATAACAACCATCTCTTTAATCACTGAGGTAGCTTGATTCATATTATTTCGTTGAATTCTTGGACATAAAATCCGATTGATATAACCCATTTACCACCTAACAACCCTTTAACTGAACCTTAACTACCCAGATTAACCATCATATCCACTGTTATAGTGTTATCACACCAAATTGTAGGAACATTATCAAGTGAAATGCCCATATCATACAAGACAACTTTGAGCCACATAACATTGTATACGACATTGGCTAAACTTGCATGAAAGAGATACATAACCTAAACGTTTTCCTATATAATGATGTGGGCATAAGGAACTTGTTTGAATTGGTTATGATCCAATAAGACATGTTTTAGTGATATTTAGAGGCATGAAAATTTTGCCTGTATAAAAAGGAATAGCAAACATGCTAAAATGCATTGAAATTTCTCCTACGCTAACTCTTGATTGAATGATGAATTTAATTGATTAAATTAGTTTACATGTCATGTTTTACCTCTGAAATATGCTAATATAAGTTTTAACATG